AATGATCCCTCACATCCACACCTTTTCCAGGGGATGCCCAGCAATGACCCTTCCCGTTCCCTGCTCTGCCCAGCCAGCAGGAAGGAACAGGTTCCCACCACCAGCAGGACCCGGAGCGAGCAGGGAGGAGGCATTTCTGGAGGGCTGGCTCCTGTTCAGCGGGGAAATGTTTCCCTTGGCTTGCCGGAGTCGCCGGGACCGCGCGCGGTGCGGGGCCGGAGGAGCCAGATTTCCATCCCCCCTCCCATTACTCTTTTTGATTGGCACTTTAATGAGGGCGCCGGGGGTCGACCCCCTGCCAGGGGGCCGGTTCATGCCCCGTTTATCTCACAGTCCATGTAAGACTAAAATAACACGCCAGGCTGAGTTTCACTGGCTTGTGATCCCGCAGCCCACCGTGATGGATTGAGTGACTGCAGCAAGTTGGCAGCTAAAGTGTGTTGTAACAGTATCTTTCTGTCAGCGCAACACAATGGATTTGCTGATTCCCGGGCTTTTCCCAGTGTTCACCGTTACCATCGGCTCACGGGTCTCCAAACTTCATTTTCCAGGGGGCTGCGAAGTGATAATAAATAACACACCGAAGGTTATACCGAGCTCTCCTTCCCCTCGGCTGCCGGCAGAGGAGGGGTTCGGTGCCAGCTTCGCTGCACACACGGAACAGCCACAAATCCACTTGCTCTGCCAGGAAGGAGGGAAGGGGCAGCTCTTCTGCTCTTCTGCAGGGAGCTCGTTCTGCTGGGCCAACACCAGACTTTTCACCGTGAGAACAATCCAGCACCAGGGGTTGCTCCGTAAAGCAGTTCCCTACACAAGAGCTGTTGGGTGATTTGGGGCTGAACTTCGCAGGCTGCAGAGACAGGACTAAGAAGCCACAGTCCTTGTCATCATCTTACTTGTTTGCACAGTTTAGAACCACCAAAATAATCCATAAGTGCACTAGAATATCCAGGAATCCTGTGCAAGGTATGGATTACACTTTAGATCCCTTTACTTAATACTATAAAATATCCTCATATCTCCTCTATAGGAAAATCTCAAACAAGAGGGATTTTTTTTTTCCTTTAAAAGCCTGGAGTCTTAGGAAATGGACTGAATTTTTATCCAAAGAGATCCTCTCCTGAGACCTTATCTCTGTGCTCTGTTTCCTCAATATCCTTTCATTCTCCTTGCCACTGCCTGCAAAACAAACAACTTCCCTCAAATACTGGGGAGAACATTCTTATTTTCGGTTGTTGCCACCCCAGCCCCTCCCAGCACGAGTGAACAAATGAGCTCCACAACACTTCCTGTATAAGGATTTTTGACAGCACAAATTTCAAACTAACGACTCTCCCATCCCCCAAAGTCAGATCAAGAACCCACCCTGGGGCTAACAAATAGGAAGGCTGAAGCTGTTTTCCTTGCTTAGAGGAGAACAACTCTGTAGATCCATGTCTACAGTTTCTTTTAGGCCTTGCATGAGACAGTAACACAGCCAAAAATAGCTCCAAAATCAACTTTAGAGCTTCAGCTGCCCTAATGTTCTCAAATATGGCAGCATGGGCACCTAGAACTGATCCAGCCTCACCCTTTTCTATCTCTGGACTCAAGATCCATCTCACTCTGGGCAAAACCAAGTGTGTTCCTGCCAACAGAAGACATCACTAAGAGAGAGAACGAGTGAGGAAGGTGAAAAAAAGAAGAGAGAATACATATGTGGAAGGGACTGGCAAAATCCTGGATGCTGTCTGTGCTCCTTTGCAGCCAGAACTTCACCCTGGCAGTGGCTGAGGAGCTGAGTGTGAACTGGCATTTCCAGGTAGTCCTAGAAGAGCCTGACCTCCTTCCCAGATCCAAAATGGGGAGGTGGGAACCACCCCTGTGTGTGGGGCAGAGCAAGAGGCAAACCCAGAACCATTCACTGCTCCAGGAATAGCAAGATAAAGGAAAAACGCACTGGGATATGAAAAGGGAACATGATGGGAAAAAGGGCAAGACTGAGGAGCTGCTTGAGGAAAACACAGCTGCTCTCAATGGCAGCTCTTGACCATACAACTCCTGCAGATTTCAACCCACAGTGCTGGAGAAAAGAGCCTCATGAGTTGAGGATCTTTATTTGTGAGAGAAGAGACAACCACAACCACAAACTGGAGCAGCAGCAGCACACCAGGTCACTACCAGTGCAATTGTCCCCGAGTGCAGAGCATACAATGATCCCAGTGCTGTGCAGAACTGCTCCAGAGACCCCAGGCCAGTCCTGGGCACCCCAGCCCTGCAGCCTGCACACACATCACTCACTGAGCTTTGAACCAGCCACCTCAGAGCCTGCCAGCAACACCAGCCCAGCCCAGAGAGCAGGGGATGTGCTGCAAACACCGTTTGAAGCCTCACTGGAGCTCCCAGTGGTCCCTCCACCTCCCCAGCTCCATTCCAGGTCGGATCCGCCCCCACGAGCTGCTGCAGCCAAGCCCTGAATGTTCCTCTGGGGAGAACCAGACACTTACACCTTAACACTGAAGAGGGCATCCTGAGCCTACAGCCAGAAAGCCTGGGAATTATTATGAAAACGAGTGGGTGGGGGAGCTCAAGGGACCAGTGGGAGGATGCGGGAAATCAGTAACACTGATTTGAATAACTGGTAACAATTATTAGATCTTTTTTGGTATGAATCATCTCAGAGACTCATCTTTTAAATGATGTCACTCAAGGGGCAGTAAAAAATACAGCAGAAGCAGCCAGCCTGCCATGACACAAGGGTTTGGAGCCACAACAGGATTGGCCAAACTGGTCTGGGAAACTTCACCAGCGCGTGGAAAAGGGAGCAAGTTTTGTGGAGAATACACACTCTGACAGATCAGACAAGCAAATTTGTCTTTAGCAAGATTATGATGTTACTTAGAGCTCTGCTGAATCTGCCTGAAATGCTGGAGAAGGAGTAGCCTCATTTATCTGATGACCACTGACCTTGTCCTTGCCCCGCCCCCTCCCCAGTGGTGGAATTTGCATTTGAAACTACAGGTTGTAAAATCAGCCAGCCAGAACCATCCCAAGGGAACAAAACCAAACCAGAACAACACAGCAAAACAACACAACAGCCCAAACCAAGCAAACAACAGAGTGAGTTTGAACAGAGTCCATTCTCTGGGCTCATCAAATTCACCCAAGAGCTCCTGTCCTTGCAAGGGAAAGGGCAGCAGAGAGTGGTGCTGCCTTGTGCACCTCTCAACTCCTTTTATCTCCTTAAATGACTGCAGGAGAGGAAAACCTGTTTGATTAACAACCAGTAGCATCAGCAACAGGCTCAGCAACTCAACAGCAACCACATTATGTTTCTTACTCCCTCTGTTTCTCACCTACTGGGCAAAATCCTGGATGCTGTCAGTGCTCCTTTGCAGCCAGAACCTCACCCTGGCAGTGGCTGAGGAGCTGAGTGTGAACTGGCACTTCCAGGTAGTCCCAGAAGAGCCTGACCTCCTTCCCAGATCCAAAATGGGGAGGTGGGAACCACCCCTGTGTGTGGGGCAGAGCAAGAGGCAAACCCAGAACCATTCACTGCTCTAAGAAGGCTCGTGGCTCCCTGGAGTCAGGGATTATCTCCAGATTTATACAATGCTCTTCCCTTTTCAGACACCCAGCTCCCAGCACTTACCATCCAGAAGTGCACTGACAGTAAAAGCTCCTCAAGGGGGATGAAGGGGGGGAAAATCTATGAGGAATTTTTTTTTTTTCACTTTTTGCAGTTTTATGGAATTCAGGCACACAGAGAAAAATACAGGACCTAGTTCCTGGAAGTGCTATGCATTAGGCAGCTGCTATTGGTTTCAGACCTTCCTTACCTACAGTGAGAAAAAAGGGAAAAGAAAAACTAGAGGAAAATTGGAGAGTCCAAATTCAGCACAGGGTTTTTAGCCTAAAAACTACGTTGAAGTAATACCAGGTATTACTGTCCAACAAACCTGCCACACCACAGAACAAAAAAATGGCCTAAAAACATATCAAAAACTTCAAAAACGTCAGGCCTTACCAATTGTGATGGAGTAGCTGCTTAAAAACCAGTAACTTTAACTTGCTTAGAGCTTTCTGGGGAGAGGGAGTGGAGGCAGTGGGGATTTGGGAAAGGGTCAAGAGAACAAGTTCAGCTCTTGGTTCCACACACACCTCTGGAGCAGAGCCCATTGCACAGAGGTGATGTGAGCAAGAGCCAAGAGCACCGTGTTGAGTTATCAATATCTATTGTTAACCAAAAAAAAAAGAAATTAACCTTAAAGGTTAACATAATGCTGTGTTTTCACAACATCTGTCAGCAATTATTTGTATTTACTTGCACTGTAAATGCAGAAGAAAAGTCAGAGAAATAAACACCAGAATTCCCACCAGTCTTGCCTTTTCCCACAAAGAATCTTCTAATCATCCCTGTTTAGACAGTCTCATTTGTTCCTTGCCCTCTCCAGTATGGAATTTCTTCCCAAGCCTCTATGACCAGAAATTATTGGTCCTCGTTGTACCCTGGAGCAAATAACAACCAACCCCTCTGCAATTAGTGGTGTTAACTTCAGGGTTCTGAAGACAGAAATCAGAACTACAATATTTCTTGGATTCCAAACAGCAAACCAGCCCCCTCTGCAGTCCTTGCTCTCCCCTTGGCCGGGCTTTGCACTCCAGCAAACAGGGAGGCAGGGACAGCGAGGGTTGTGCTCCAGTCGTACTCCACCTGTGCAATGCAGGGTGAGGAACAGGTTAGCTGGGTGAAAAGTTCACTGCAAGCTGAGCTGTCTGTTTCTCTTGCTTAATTTATCCGATATTTGGCTAACCTTGCTCTGAACCCAGCCCCCAAGACCCCCTTCCTCTCATCCCTCCCCAGCGGGTTCATGTCAGCCAAAGACACCGCCTCTAATTCCCTTCTCCCTGACCCTGCTCAATGGAGCGGGGGCTGGGACACAGGGCCAAGCACAGAGAGAGCCCTTGCACTGCAGAGATAATCATTATTTATGCTCCAAACTTCAACGGGAGCAAACAGAAAAGCCCTACAGTCAGCAACACTGCCTGATACGGTGTTTGAGCTTATCAGGCTTCCCAAGGCTGGATGGCACACCCCCTGCACCTCTCCTCCTCTGCACCCTGCTTCCAAGGATGCAACACTTCTAATGGATCCCTGATCCCCTCTGGCAGCCCCTGTTCCTAGCACACAGTTCCTACTTCCATGATCTCCAAGATACCAGTTAGCCCAGTATGTCCATTATCCCCTTCCTGCAGCTCAAGATCCTCAAAAGGAACCCGACAGACATACTTATATTTTACAAAGCACAGAGCAGCAGCTGCAGTGACACAGAGACCCAAAGGGTTTTTCTCACCCCAAATCCCACAAAGTCAGTGGAGGAAAGGCTGCTCTTTGGAAAACAGGATTCCCTGATCCACGGACCTTTATGCACCCATAACTACTCATCCTGCAGAATACAGACAAGGTTCTGCTCAGAAGCTGCTGAGCAGTTTCCTTTTCACTGATAATCTACAGCTTTCCCACCCACTCACTCACCCACTCCCTGTACCCAGAAAGTGGGTGGCAAGAACCCCTCAGTGCTCCCCCTGCCCTGCAGGGCACCAGTTTCACCTCCCTGTGAACACCCTCCCCAGCACCTCTCGGCCCCACACGTCAGAGCTGGGCAGCGGTGATGCAAACTGCTGCAAAAACTGCCCGAGAACACGCATTTCTGGCAGGCTCTGCATGTTTTCCCGCTGGGCTCAGCACTGCTCCCAACACCCTCCGAGGCAGCACAAAGGGGATTTGATGGGCTTCTCAATGACCGGGCACATCGTCAGAGAGCGGGCACAGACCAGCCCTGCCGAGCTCCCCCTGCTCGGCTGAGCAGCTGCTGCTCCCTTTTCATGTTTAATCCCGGACTCCCAAGAA